TCTACGCACACGCAAGATCATGGTGATGCATAGCAACAAGAGGGGAGAGTGTGATCTACGTACCCTTGTAGACCGACAGCGGAAGCGTTAGCATAACGCGGTTGATGTAGTCGTACGTCTTCACGGCCCGACCGATCAAGCACCAAAACTACGGCACCTCCGAGTTTTAGCACACGTTCAGCTCGATGACGATCCCCGGACTCCGATCCAGCAAAGTGTCGGGGAAGAGTTCCGTCAGCACGACGGTGTGGTGACGATCTTGATATTCTACCGTCGCAGGGCTTCGCCTAAGCACCGCTGTAATATGACCGAGGTGGAATATGGTGGAGGGGAGCACCGCACATGGCTAAGGAACGATCACGAAGATCAACTTGTGTGTCATGGGGTGCACCCTTGCCCCCGTATATAAAGGAGCAAGGGGGAGGGGGCGGCCGGTCTAGGAGGGGGCGCGCCAAGGGGAGTCCTACTCCCACCGGGAGTAGGACTCCCTCCTTCCTTGTTGGAGTAGGAGAAGGGGAAAGAGGGGGAGAGGAAGAAGGAAAAGGGGGCTGCGCCCCTTGTCCAATTCGGACAAGAGGGGGGGGGGGCGCAGGCCTCCTTCCTTTTGGCCTCTCTCCTCTATTCCCGTATGGCCCAATAAGGCCCATATACTCCCCGGCGAATTCACGTAACTCTCCGGTACTCCGAAAAATACCCGAATCACTCGGAACCTTTCCGATGTCCGAATATAGTCGTCCAATATATCGATCTTTACATCTCGACCATTTCGAGACTCCTTGTCATGTCCCCGATCTCATCCGGGACTCCGAACTCCTTCAGTACATCAAAACTAATAAACTCATAATATAACTGTCATCGAAACCTTAAGCGTGCGGACCCTACGAGTTCGAGAACAATGTAGACATGACTGAGACACGTCTCCGGTCAATAACCAATAGCGGAACCTGAATGCTCATATTGGCTCCCATATATTGTACGAAGATCTTTATCGGTCAGACCGCATAACAACATACATTGTTCCCTTTGTCATCGGTATGTTACTTGCCCGAGATTTGATCGTCGGTATCCAATACCTAGTTCAATCTCGTTACCGGCAAGTCTCTTTACTCGTTCCGTAATACATCATCCCGCAACTAACTCATTAGTTGCAATGCTTGCAAGGCTTAAGTGATGTGCATTATCGAGAGGGCCCAGAGATACCTCTCCGACAATCGGAGTGACAAATCCTAATCTCGAAATATGCCAACTCAACATGTACCTTTGGAGACACCTGTAGAGCACCTTTATAATCACCCAGTTACGTTGTGACGTTTGGTAGCACACAAAGTGTTCCTCCGGCAAACGGGAGTTGCATAATCTCATAGTCATAGGAACATGTATAAGTCATGAAGAAAGCAATAGCAACATACTAAACGATCAGGTGCTAAGCTAACGGAACGGGTCATGTCAATCACATCATTCTCCTAATGATGTGATCCCGTTAATCAAATGACAACTCATGTCTACGGCTAGGAAACATAACCATCTTTGATCAACAGGCTAGTCAAGTAGAGGCATACTAGTGACACTCTGTTTGTCTATGTATTCACACATGTATTATGTTTCCAGTTAATACAATTCTAGCACGAATAATAAACATTTATCATGATATAAGGAAATAAATAATAACTTTATTATTGCCTCTAGGGCATATTTCCTTCAAGTAGTTGTGAGCAGCGAGGTCTAGGGTTACGGGGATGTAGGGGCTAATATCGAAGATGATGTCGGTGAAGAAGATGGAAGGGGGTATTGGTGGAGGTAGAGCTATAGTAGAGGTATAGTGGAGGAGGTCGTGGCCGCGGCGACCTTGGCGGCGCGCCGCTCGAAGTAGCCGGACGACGGTGGCGGTGGCGGGGCTGGCGGGTTAGTCATACCCTAGGATCGAAAGTTTGATACCATGTACAATTGTATTGAATAATTGTTGATGCAATATTGTGCCGGTATAAGAAGTATATATAAGAGCTAAGCCGCACTTGACCTAGCCTTATTACAAACCGAGTATGAGTCATAATCCTAATACAAGTTGTATTCTAACAAACGCCACCCACAAACCAACACCACTAGTGGCTACGTCGAGGAGGAGGGTGGGCAGCATATCCATCATTCGAAGTCGGCATCGAAGCCTCTACCACACTGACGCCATCAGAAACTGAAACTACCATATATATGCGCTAGTGGCCGAGGATCGGGACACCCCCCATCTAACCACCGAATCGACAACCGAAGGTGGCTAGGGTCCATGACCTCACCAACAGGAGGTGAAGATTTGTGGCTTCGCTCATTGGTCGCCTCTCTCTTCTACTCCCTCCGTCCGGAAATACCTGTCATCGAAATGGATAAAAAGGGGTGTATCTAGAACTAAAATACATATAAATACATCCCTTTTTATTCATCTTGATGACAAGTATTTCCGGACGGAGGGAGTACAACATAGCCAACTTAGATCTAATTGGCCTATGTCCGGCTAGGTACCTAACTTGAAGTTAAGTTTCTCTTGTGTTAAACTACTATTTGATCATATTTCACTTACACATGGACTTCAATATAAATATGAAGTCAGATTTTTAGGGCTAAAAACATGACACCCTCAAGTACATCGGATATTTACGCTACATGGCAATTTTCACCATAAAAACTTGGCAAATCCTACACACAAATATGACATTTTTTTATCTATTTTCACATGGTAAATCTGGTTGTCAGATTTTAAACATTTTCACTACATAGACCATCGTTGTATATTTACTTATTTAGGGAACAATCATCGTCCATGAAACTACGCCAATATTCGAATATCTGCGTGTCGCGCGCTCGCGCATAGCTCTGTCACATGTCTGTTTCTCCTGCTGCCTGGCATCACAGCCGTCCATCGAGCCGCCGATCCAGCCGCCCATTGCCCGTTCACGCGGATCGACGGGCCCACCCCCCTCTTCCTTGCCCTCCCCCTCCTGTATAAATACTCCGCCCCTCGTCTCCTCCTCCATCAACCCACCCGGCAATCTCCAGCCAAGCAATCCCCACACATCTGTCCACTCCCCGAATCCTCTCCTCACCACCAGCGCAGCAGCTCGCCATGGACGCCTCAGCCACCGTAGCCACCGGGAAGGGGAAGAAGGGCGCGGCCGGGCGCAAGGCGGGCGGCCCCAGGAAGAAGTCCGTGTCGCGGTCCGTCAAGGCCGGGCTCCAGTTCCCCGTCAGCCGCATCGGGCGCTTCCTCAAGAAGGGCCGCTACGCGCAGCGCGTCGGCTCCGGCGCCCCCGTCTACCTCGCGGCCGTCCTCGAGTACCTCGCCGCCGAGCTGCTGGAGCTCGCGGGCAACGCCGCCAAGGACAACAAGAAGAGCCGCATCATCCCCCGCCACCTGCTGCTCGCCGTCAGGAACGACCAGGAGCTCGGCAGGCTGCTCGCCGGCGTCACCATCGCCCACGGCGGCGTGATCCCCAACATCAACCCGGTCCTGCTCCCCAAGAAGACCGCCGAGAAGTCCCCCAAGGAGCCCAAGTCGCCCAAGAAGACCGCCAAGTCCCCCAAGAAGGCGTAGGTGACCATTGCTTAGTTATGTCGGAGTAGCTGGGATGGATGTATGGGTGTGCTTCAGCTCGAAGCAGAGTGTTCTTGTTGTGTCGTTGTATCTTCTGATCTGTGAATTCAATGGAACAATGAGTTGCTTTGATGTTTTGTTCGTTTGCCCATTGTTGTTCCTATGCTCAGATTTGCATCTGTAGGCGTGGGTTTGCCATTCATGTCCTGTGAATTTCATCCAGATCCAGGGGCTTGGGCGGTCAGTTGCGAAGGTAGGTGGGAATCGACCTCCTTGGCGGGTGTTTGAAATATTTGGCTATCGGATTTCCCGCTCAAATTTCGTAATAGCACTTGTTTAACAATTATCGCAAAATTTCATAATATCCCGCTCGAGTTTTAAGCAGCCAAAAATTTTGGACGAAATTTCGTGTTGGCGGCGAAATTTCCCACTCGTTTTGGATTCAGTTTTGGGAGTTTGGCGGGCGACTGAAAACCTTGTCCTCGCGTTCCCGCCATCTGTGTTGTTTGGAGCTTCTAGATCCTACGTCGTGATGGGCTGCGCAACCAATTTCTGGACGGATAGCTGCATAAATGGCAGATGAAAGAACGGAATTGTCTAAAAAAAAGATGAAAGAACGGAAGATGCTTTGGTATATTGTGCACGTTTGTGCTAAGCCCAGCAAAGATGCACGCCGGGAGCTGCAGGCAAGCTACAAATCATAACACATGCAATACAAGTTTATGTTTTTAATCCAAAGACTCTAATCTGACACGGCTGCTCTATTTCAATTCTGAAGTTACTTCTGGTTCCTGGACAGAGCATGCCTTCCAAAATCGATTCAGCCAAAAAGACTAAACCGATGATGGTCACGCAATGCACTATTGCGCCTTTCTTCATCACAGTTTCACGGGGCACCCTACTACGTTTGTTCCAGTTTCAGTCAGCAGACGTGTGGACAATTCAATTGCGTCTTAAAGCACAAAAGCATATATGAAGTGTCCACTGAAATGACGTCCGCAAGCTATAAACATTCAGAATTCTATTTTCCTGCTCCGATCACACAGCTGCATGTTACATTTGAATACAACGGGATCACAGTGTACAACCTCTCATTGCACATGCATATAAGGCTCATCTCCTTATTACAAACAAATATCAAGTGTTTGATTTCTCAGACACTGAATTGGCTAACTACCAGTACAGAGTATATGATATTAGCATTACAACACTGTGTTTCCCCTTGTCTTCCTAAAAAAGTACAACATGGCACACCAATAAGCCCAGATCACATAACATGTGGGCTCAGCAATAGCTACTCTATATCCAAACCTGGATCAGTTATAGGGCATCGCTTCGTTGTGTCAGTTCAGAGTGAATCCTCACCCTTGCTATTTCACAAACTAGTTCAGAGTGAATACCCCAGTTCTTCGGCAAGTAACTATTTCTTTGCCTTCTTCGCTCTCTTTGTTGTTTGGGTTTTCCTTGTTCCCTTCTTAGCAACCTTTGCCTTCTTCTGTCCCTTAGCCTATTACCACAAAAAATATTTCAAGTTTGCCATCAGAAACTCGATGACATTGCGATGTGGTAACAGAGTAGTAGTCTTTCATACTTCCATGATACTTGCTTGTTAATGACTAACATGGTCTGGCAGAGCTACTCATCAGCCATCAAGGCTTCAGAGATACACAGCTCGAGAAAACTTTTGGATGTGTTGCTATGGTCTTAACTACTCGATATAGGGCATGGAAATGCCAAGCAAAGAAAGAAGTCAGTCGGTCATGGTGAATGCAATAAAGGGCATGACAACAGGATATGAGCAAGTACTACAAAACGTAAGTCCTTAAATGTCCATCAAAAGTTGAAATGTTTATTTTTTGGCAAACAAGATGCAGTGTATATAATTTCCACAAGGCAACACTTCCAATGGTCAAGTACCTGGTTACGCAATTAAAACCCAGACAACACAGCTATGCTCCTAAGCTCAAATGGGGTCTGAGAAGTTGGAAATATGCTGAAGTAACCGATGATGTTCATGCTTTGCATTAACGTGTGTAATAAACAGTTCAACACTAGGGACATGTAAGTATCTGAATACAATGGATCAATCCAAAGAAATTAAAAAACTGCAGATCAACAAAAAGAGAGGCAAGAAACCACACCGCTGGCTTCACGGCTGCTTTCCTTTTGGTTTTCCCCTTAGGTTGATCTTCACTCTCATTGTTTGGATAATTCTGAGAAGCGTTAAGTTCATGAAGCCTATCGCCCTCTCCATCTGAATCAAATGTGAATCCATCAAGGGTACCTATAATAGAGGATACCGATTGTGAGAAAAACAACTATTTTTAGCAGGCAATGTCTCATAACAATAGGTCAATAGGTACACAATTTCACACTAAGACCATAATTGCAAAAATAGCTTGGATGAAGACTTCTCCCAACTAGTTAAGAACTTAAGATGTTAACACAAGAAATTCAATAGCAACAAACTGTTGTCTGCTGATTACAACTGACAGCAGATAGCCCAGCAAGACAAAAGACTAACCTTCCATCATAGTCTCTGATTCAAATAAATTGGAGTGAGGTTCCAACTGAATGAAGTCATTCATGATAGCCTCAATCTACAAAGGAAGAGGAGAATTGAAGTAGGCAGTTGCATCCATTGAAACAGAATGCAACTAATACATCGTCAAATTTACTAGTGAAAATGGGGCTTTAGGTGATAGAAGTGTTGGTTCCACGGAGAAGTTAAATACACATATATAACTCATGTTATGGTCGACAAACCTTTGCTTCTGTTTGTCCCACGCTGACCTGAAAGAAAAGAGAATGCACAGAGGAATAAGAAACATACCTAAAAGCACAACTGCACTCAAATTTGGATGTAACTTACAACACAAAATGTCCTGGATGGCACTATAGTTGATTTGTACACAGTTCCTGTATGAGCACAACAAGAAAGAAGATATTAAATCGTTTGGAACATTGCAAGGAGAAGAAGTTTTCAAATAACTCATCTGTTAATACAGATAAAATTAATGAAAAACGGAAATCAAATAAAGTACATACATGTTTACACAATAATGAAAGTAACCTGGCAGTACCTTTCAGGTCCAGTAACAAATCATGATTTCCAGTCGGACCATTTGAAATTACTATCCTGCCAACAGCTCCAATATCTCCGCTCAAGTCTATCGAGTCACCATCACATTCAACCAATGCCTAGAATAAAAGATGATTATAAGCTTGAGGGAGTACTAATAACAAAGTCAAGGTATGCGCTACTCTAGAGATTGTGTAATAATCTCTTCCAGGCAATCCATATATTCCAAAAGGCAAGATGTCAATATATTCCAATTTAACACACATTACACATATTTGTCTGTTTTCACGACTAATTTTCATAACCAGTACTTACGCAAACTCCTATTACGTCCTGTCAGGGAACAAGTACATGTAGCATAGAGAAACATCAAAGTCTGGCAAAATCTCATAATCATGATTGCTCTTCTATTGATTGTAACATATGTTTCTCTTTAATTCCCTGGATGCTAATTAGACAGCTTTCTCACAAAGAAAATACAAGCCACATAACAAGATGGATGTTCATGGTACTTCAGACTGCTGGTTGCAGACATTGAACTTTTTATGATGAAAAATCTTTGCAATTAAGCAGTACTAGTGTGGCCATTAGAACTTATCATACCTTTGAACGTTGAACTTTATCAGCAATGGTCAATGGCAACCTCTGGGAGACCTGAAATTCAGAATGTATATTCTGTAAAAAAACTGGGGTCTATCACTATTTACAGAAATAACAAACCACAGCACAGAATACCACAACACTTGGTAGGAATCAGCTGGAGCTTGACAAGTACAATTTAATGCATAATCAGTGTTATGAAGTTAAACACATAGGAAGGCGTGCAAGGGGAGGCGGGGGGTATCTTACAGAATTATCCACAAGCTTGTCCTGCATCTTTTCCTCGTTAGCTTCATCTTCGGGTTGTTCCAAGGTATCTATGTTTGTTTGACCATGAAACAGTAATTACACGTCACTGGAAGTCTGGAATATTCCAAGTCACTAACTAGAATGGGAGCCTTCTCATTAGTCTTACCGTCTCTTTTCGCAGGAACTTTTCTTACAGAAACCTTTGTTTTTTTACCCTTAGATTGCAGACCATCTTTTTTCCTGGTATTGGCAAGTGAGTCCTCTTCTTCATCAGCGTCACCAGCCCTTGAAGGGCTGTTTCCAGGAGAAGCTTCCGAATCAGATGAGAGCATCAACTTCTTCCTCGGAGCCTATACAAAGAGATTTTGGTATAGATATTAACGATAAAGTTATGAAAACAGGTGCTTGCAACTGGTACATGTTCCCTCAAAATCCTAGTACATGCATTGAAGTTATAGCTACTGATCCTCAACACCAACCAAACAAGTTAGAAAAGCCTAAAGATAAGGTACCTTTTCTTCTTGATTAGATGGAGCAGTTCTTGTAGGGCTATTTCCACGAGAACAATCGGAATCAGAAGAAAGCATCACCGGTGCAGTACTTGGTGCCTGTATCCAAAAGAGAAGTGCCATTCATATGTGTGTAGCCGTGACTAACAACAATGTAATTGTGAAACAAGCGCTATCCACTTATATAGAACATTGGTCTTGGCAAGAACGCGACACAATAACGGAAAGCCAAAGTAGATCAAGAACAACATACTGGCTTTCCCCAAAGCCGACTGCCACCAAGATGAAAGATAGCATCAGTTATATGAATCGGCGACAGGGCAGGATAAGAGGAGAATAACATATGCTAGAAATGGTGGCCGTCTGCAACACAGCACAAGCTGTTCTAAGGATTTGCTGTAGGGCTCAATTCCTAACTCAAATCTGCACCGGCGCAACGGGCACATACATCAACACAGTAAGCAGCAAAGCGGCACTAATCCGTGTACGCACCCAGCCCATAAATGTATTCTGCAACAAATCTACGTGCAGGCTGTTCCCCTAAAGACAAAAAACTCATTCGCAGCAGTAAGCCAGTCGGAGTCGCCATCTTAACGGGGAGGATTTGAGGCAGAAGTTTGAGTAGGGAAGGTGAGATGGATACCTTGAAGGCAGTAAGCCAGTCGGGGTCGCCATCTTCGTCCGACATTCCTACCGCCGCCGCCTCCGGCTGATTAGGGGAACGGCAAGTGACACTCCGAACAAACTCTAGGCCCACCCGAGATTTGGAAGGTTTAGGCGCAGGATTTAGGGGGCTGTGCCGTCGGGAACGAAGCGGAAGCCCTGCTTCCACCGTGCGGCCGAGCCCTTTGCCGTTCGAGGCGGAGCTTCTGCTACTAGACGCTGGGGCTCCGACCAAATCACGCCGCCGCCGCCGTCGTGGAAGGTTGGGGAGAAGGGTGTCGGCTCGGAGGATTTCGCGGCGGCAGGGGGGCTTGAGGAGAGAGGCGAGGCGGAGAGGCGCTGGTACGCGGCGGCGCCGGAGATCGCCGGAGGCTGCCGCGGTGCTGGGAGTCGGCGGCGGTGGCGATTTGGGGAAGGAGAGAGAGGCGTCGGGGAGAGAGACTGCGGCCTGCGGCCGGGTTAGGAACTTAGGATGGCCTAAGCAGGCTGAGCCGAGTGCGGCGCGAACTTTGCGCGGCCCAAATTTATTCCAGTTCGGGCTGTGTGACCCAGGAAAAATACCAGCCCGAGACCAACCCGGTTTAAATGTTTCGCTGAAAAGGTTTTCCTCCAAAACATCTTAATAAAAAAATCCCCGAAACACTCTATGGAGTTCCTGGAAAGCTTTCTAAATTATTATGAAGCAGAAAACATACTTATGACAGGAAATAAACATCTTTGTTATTTTTATATAAATCACTGTGCATTGTGTGATGTCTCCTTTTCTTCCTCTCGGCCTTGTTGTGGCCAAATCGAAGGTGATTGGGTTTCGGTTGGATGTCTGCATCTTCCACTTCTGGCAATTCTACGTGCTAGTGATGATACCTAACCGTTTCAATTCCCAGGACGGAGAAAGTCAACATCGTCCTATGTGATGATGGGGTTGGTGCTGAGTTGAAGCCTGTTGTAGGATTAGGGCCCAATTGCCAATCTAAGTCCTATGTATAGGGTCCTTTTTGTAATATCAAAGGTCTAGGTAGCAATTTCTTATTTCTTTTGAGTCGTTGCATCAACCATAGTTCGCCTCTGTTTAATATTTAATGCAACTCTGGTCACCCGCAAAAAAAAACTTTGGTCGACCCTTCTCTTAATAAAAAAACACTCTAACTCGTTTAGAGGAGACTGGACACTAATGGGAGTAAACATCTCAAGGGCTTCTTCTGTACCATCGACAATGGTATATACTAGAAGAGTTGGACGCACTTTGCTGTGTCATTGGTGTTGTTGGGTTTTCTAAAAAAATACTCACTGTGTTTCAAAATATTAGATGTATTACTTTTTAAAAAAAGTCAAACCTTTTTAAGTTGAACCATATTAGTAGAGAAATATATCGGAATTCATAGTATCACATTGGTATAATTAGATTCATCACGAAATGAATTTTCATATTTTTTGTTTAATATTGTGGATGTCGGTAATTTTGGCTCTGAACTTGGTCAAAGTTAAATGAATTTGACTTTCCAAAAAACTAATACCTTTTATATTTTGGAATTGATGGAATATTTAGTTTGAGGGGCAATGAGATGATGGAGTGTTTTTTTTATAATACAATATTTGGTGGGTCTTTCTGGGTGTGATTCTGTGTTGTCCGCTAATAAACCCATATTGATGTGGGGAAAATTCAGCATCGATAGCTGCATGTATTATGTTGGTGCTACAATATCACATGGTGGCATTTCTTTTTTCTAGGTGGTGGGAAGAAGCACATGATTGATATGTTTTGGTAGGCCAGTTTGCCGCTGATTGATTTGAAAAATCATTGGCCCGACCAAAATCGTAAATCAAATCCAAAATTGAACACCTCTACTGAATTGAAGAGTTTCAAAATTAAGAAATATAATGAATTAAAATAATTAAATGAGAGAGCTCCTTGAGAAATTGTTGACCCAGTCAAAATTAGTGACTCAATTTTAAATCGAAGACCTCAATTAAGTGTGAGGAGTTAAAAATTAGAAAGCATGGTCTATAGTATGAAACAATTAAATGGGATAGCTTTGAGAAATTATTGACTCGGTCAAAATCGAATGACCCAATTTCAAGTGTAAACCTCAATTGATTGTGAGGCTTTTAAAATTAGAGAGCTTAGTGTTATAGAGCGATCGCCAGGCTGATTTCCATGCATATGACATTTGACGTGTTGACAATAGAAAATACAGTTTAGCAGTCAGTTGTGTCTAATCTCTATTTTTTTTACTCAAAAAGAACCTAAGGTGCCATCTTTCACCCACTTTTCTCCCCATTATCCCTTCGTCCAATCTCTCTCCTACACCCAACCGTTTCATCGATTTTTCCAGGCGTGTTCGCTACCCCACCAATCTACTATCTAAACTGATTTATACCACATGGATCTATTTAAATCGATTTCTGTCTGCCAAATCAGATCAGCGTTTGCTATATTTGATAACATTTATATGGGCACCAATCTACTATTTGAACCAATTTATACCGCATCAATCTATTTTAACCGATTTCTATCTGCCAAATCAGATCAATCTTTGCTATATTTGATAATATTTATATGGGAAGGAATCGATTAATCTCTAATTAATCTTTACACATATTTGGTGGCACCACATATCAGGCATTACATAATATATATGTGCGTGTATCATAGTATAATTAATGACTCTTTAATTATTGACAAATATCTATATCTTTGTTTTTTAGTCGCAACATAAGGACATTCACCTAGTGATAAACAAACATTTCTCATATCTATATCTACTCGTGCATATATATCTATATATAGATATAGATATATAGATATACGGAAGATTGACCGAGTAGATATATGCACTCCATATATATATAGTGATATCTATATCTACTCGTGCATTAGTGTACGATGAAAAGATATGATAAGAATTGATTAATCTCCCCCTTGACCAAAGAACCGCTCTCACGCGTATATATACACTACGAACACCATCATAGAGCACACAAAGCATCCATTGACCAAAAAGACAACACCGTCTAGAAGAAGAGGATTAATTAGCTAGCCAGTCATTCGCCGCGGCACATGCCAGGAACAACACAGTTTCTGTGCTTGGCCGTAGCTCTTCTGGTCATGTCGGCCTCCCTGTCATGCAATGCCAAGCGTATGTAGAGTAGTATTTCTTACTACGTGATGCTTCATTCTTCCATTCTTTCTTTCATATGAAACACACACGCACTAACTGTTCGTAGTTCCTTTTGTGCGTGTGTGTGTGCATGCAGACACGTACCGTGAATCTATGTGGGAATCCAAGAGACAGGTGCATGATTTTGGCGGGCACAACTGCCAAAACACCTGTGTAAGAAAAAGCACAGATACTGACATATACTGTGAACGAAACTACTTCACAGCCGATGCGAAATGGACGATTCATGGACGATTGATGATCAAATGGCCGTGCTGGACTTCATTCAATATTTTGATGGCTGGATGTGTAGAATCGTGCAGCAGTCGTGCATGGGTGTCGTTTGTGTAGCACTTTCCAATATATGTGGGAATGCAACAAACCGGTGCATGATCATGACCAGCACAAGTGCCGAAACTTCTGCGTAAGCAAAGGCTACGACTACCTCGGGAGCTATTGTGAGCACCACCCCTACCCGTATTGCTGTTGCCATAAGTAATCTGAATTCGATGGCTTTGGGGTGATATCTGGATGATGATGCTTGTCATGTGCTACTTAAAAAGCTATAGTTGTTTGTGTATGGAGGAAATATGCCCTAAAGATAATAATAAAGTTGTTATTTATATTTTCTTATATCATGAATATGGCTTAAAGCCATCTAATACGATAACAGCGGAAGGCTTGAAAAATAAAATGAGTCCATCAACTCCAACAGCATCACTGAGTGAAAGACAATGACATATAGCTCCTTACACGTCATCTGAAAAGTCTGCAACATGAACGTTGCAGTCCGAAATGGGTCAATACATGGAATATGCTCGCAAAGCAACACAAGAGAATAACGAACAGAATACTTGCTATCACTACATGCATATATGGCTGGTGGAGGCTGTATGGTTAATATGTTTTTGCGAAAAGCCAATTTTTCCCTACAACAAAGAAATAAATTTATTTAACTATCATGGTAGTTGTTAAACATTGAGAAGGTTCCTCCAACTCAATCTCAATTAAATATCATCATTAAACCCAATCAAATTATATTAAGAGTGATGAGATCAATCATGATAATCCAAGAACCAGATACTCAAGATGTCCATAACCGGGATACGGCTAACCATGATTAGTTTATACACTTTGCAGAAGTTTGCGCATTTTTCTCCACAAGACTCGAATACATCCATGGTCGGAGATTCGAGACACGGTCTTTATGAAGCATTAACTCTCTACTCTGGGTAGACTATACCACCTACAACCCACTACATCTGCTAGTCTATCTCTTCAAGAGTTTTACGCAACTTACTCAACTATGCTAGAGCCCATAATAGCTTGTGAGTGCACACGAAAGTTTCTAGTATGAAAAATCTTATGATCCCTTTGAGCCTGGGTGGCGGGCGGTAGGATGATCACACGGGTCCTCCGGAATATCCTAGGACAACACTGGGTTCTCCAGGTTCCCACAAGCAATCCACCCAGATGTGTATTCAAGTTGCCACCTTAAGTTGAACCATTAATTAACAAGCTCACATCTGTCATGAAAACTCTCAAACCCAATCTACGTCTACGAGCATAGCATAGCAATAATAAGCAACGTAGAAGTAACTCACAAGGTTTGAAAAATAAACAGGTGAATAGGTACTACCTCAAGTACTTCCCAAAATCCATAATTTAATCAGATCCTAATCATGCAAATGTCTGAGGATTGATCTAATGCAATAAAACTGGGTAGTAAAAGGATATGATCAAAGTGTTACTTGCCTTACTGATGATCCGTGAAACCCAGAGACTCGTAGTAGCACGCTTCGCACTTCGGGTACTCTATCACAAACAAACAAGCATACAATAAGCACTCAACTAGAAGCATGGGTAAAACTCAAACAAAAGATCTAACCAGAAAGTTCAACTTAGGAACTCCGGTTTGCAAAAAGAATCAAATCAAACGAAGTAACGAAACTCAAACTACGAAAGAAACAAGATCCTTTTACTAATCTGAACTTAAGTCAAATTTTACAGTAGAAAAAACTTGTTCAAGTTAGTTAAACAGAAAGAGGGCTTCAAGACGAAGATCTAGGCGCTTGAATCGCCTCATTCCGACTAACAAGCGAAAAATTATACTAGAACGAAGATTAGGGCAGAAATCGCGATCGAAAATAATCGTGGAAAAACCCTGGAAAAAGAAAACTGATGAACAGGCTAACGAACGAACGTTCGTTGTCTGCGGTTAACGAGTGAAAACCGTTGGTTAAAACGAACGTACGAACGGGTGTTCTCTAAATAAATAAACCAGGAAAAACCGATCTAAATAAATAAAAAAAATCAGGGTTTTGAAAAAATAATAATAAACCGATCGGTTTTCCGAAGAAAACCGGCGGCGGCGGCAACTACCTCGGCGAGATCGGCAGCGAGGTCTGCGGCGGCTCCGGCATCGGCGGCGAGGGGCAACGGCGGCGGCGGGGCTCGGGACAGGCGGCGACGGCGACGCTGGGGGGCGGCATCGCGGGCGGCGGCGCGGCGAGGCTCCGGCGGCGGCGGCGGGTTCGGGCGGGGTGGCTGCGGCTCGGGCCTTCATGGCTTATAAGGGCCGGCCGGGCTAGTGTCCAGGTCGGACACGACCCGGTTAGGTCGGTTGATTTTTTTTAAATAATTCCGCTTGGAAAAACAAAGAAAAGAAATACTAAACGGACTCCAAAAATTCTGAAATAAATTTTTCTCGTCCTCTAAAAATCTAACGGACAAGATGAACATTTATTTAGGCCTCTAATGCAATTTTGAAAAACGCATATTTTTCCTAATTCAAATAAAATTTTGATAAAAACTCCGAATAAAATCTTATTTGATTTTAACATTAAATATCCAATATTTCTTTATTTTGGGGAAGTCATTTTATCCCCTCTCTTTTTATTTTCATAAAAGAAATATTCAAAGATAAAACAATTAAAATCAAACGATCCTCTTTTTTCAAAATTTGAGAAAACTCAAATATGAAAATAACGAAATCCCCAACTCTCTTCGTGGGTCCTTGAGTTGCATAGAATTTCTAGGATCAAACCAAAATGTAATGAAATGTGATATGCAATGCATAACATTCCAAATTGAAAATTTGGGATGTTACAAACCTACCCCCTTAAGATGAATCTTGCCCTCGAGATTCGGGTTGGCTAGAAAATAGGTGAGGGTGATCCTTCCGTATTCTTCCTCTCGTTCTCAGGTGGCTTCATCCTCAGCATGGTGGCTCCACTGAACTTTACATAACTTGATAACCTTGCTGCGTGTGACTCGGCTGGCAAAATCAAGAATCTTGTCTGGTTTCTCCTCGTAGGTCAAGTCGCTATCCAACTGAATCGCTTTCAGTGGCACTGTATCTCTTAGAGGAATATCAGCCATCTCTGCGTGACACTTCTTCAACTGAGAAACGTGGAACACATCATGAACTTCTGACAATCCTTCGGCAATCCCAACTTGTACGCAACTTCTCCCATATGTTCCAAAACTTTGTATGGTCTCACAAAACGTGGCGCTAACTTTCCCTTAACTCCAAAACGCTTCTATAACGCCCTCGATGCGGCTATAGCTCCCACGTGTCGAGGCACGACTTAGAGACATAACCGCATTGAAAGCAATGTCGCAAGTTAGGCAATCATCACAACATCCCATGTAATGCATAATAAAAGGGGGAGATACATAGTTGGCTTACACTCGCCACGTCACATCAAAGTACATAAATAACATCCATCATACAAACACTCAGGGCCCGACTACGACGCCAAAATAGAAAAGAACCCAACATGCGACAAGGCCCCGAATCAAACCCCAACTAGGCACCACTACTGATCATCAGGAAAAGACATGTAGTAACGCTGAGAGTCCTCGTCGAACTCCCACTTGAGCTCGTACTCGTCACCTGGAGCGGAATCACCTGGACCTGCATCTAGAGTTATAGTATCTGCGAGCCACAGGGACTCAGCAATCTCGCACCCTCGCGATCAAGACTATTTAAGCTTATAGGAAGGGTAAGGCAAATGTATGTGGAGCTGCAGCAAGCGACTAGCATATATGGTGGCTAACTTATACACAAAAGAGAGCAAGAAGAGGAGGCAAAGCGCGAGCGAGAATCTAGAAGAACAACCTGCGCAAGCACAACTCCAACACCGTGTCCACTTCCCGGACTCCACCGAGAAGAGGCCATCACGGTAACACACACGGTTGATTCATTTTAATTAATTAAGGTTCAAGTTATCTACAACCGGACATTAACAAATTCCCATCTGCCCATAACCGCGGGCACGGCTTTCAAAAGTTCAATCCCTGCAGGGGAGTCCCTACTTAGCCCATGACAAGCTCTCACGGTCAACGAAGGAATAGACCTCCTCCCAAGACGTTCCGATCAGACTCGGTATCTCAGTAACTCAAGACACTTCGACAGGTTAAAACAAGACCAGCAACACCGCCCGAATGTGCTGACAAATCCCGATAGGAGCTGCACATATCTCTTTCTCAGGGCACACTCAGATTGTCTTAGGTACGGGTAGGCCAGCCCAGAGTTGCCCCTGGTGGCCACCGGCAGCTGACAGGTGGACCAACACTCAGAGGAGCACTGGCCCGGGGGGGTAAAATAAGATGACCCTTGAGTCTGCAGAACCCAAGGGAAAGAAAAGGCTAGGTGGAAAATGGTAAAACCAAGGTTAGGCATTGCTGGACAAGCTTTAATCAAGGCGAAATATCAAGGGGTTCCCATTATAACCCAACCGCGTAAGGAACACAAAATCTGGGAACATAACACCGATATGACGGAAACTAGGGCGGCAAGAGTGGAACAAAACACTAGGCGAGAGGCCGAGCCTTCCACCCTTTACCAAGTATATAGATGCTTTAAGATAACATGGCAATGTAATGATATCCCAACAAGTAAATAAATGATGTTCCAACGAGGAACGGCCTCCAATCTTCACCTGCAACTAGCAACGCTATAAGAGGGGGCTGAGCAAAGCGGTAACATAGCCAATCAACGGTTTGCTAGGACATGGTGGGTTAGAGGTTCAACATGGCAATTGGGAGGCTGACAAGCAAAAGGTAGGCATCGTAGCATTGGCATAGCAAAGAGCGAGCAAACTAGCATAGCAAAGATAGTAGTGATTTCGAGGGTATGATCATCTTGCCTGCACAGTTGTCAGAGTTGACTGGATCCTCACAAGCAAACTCAATGGGCTCCTCGGTAGCGAACTCGTCTCCCGGCTCTACCCAAACAAGACAAACAAGCAACAAGGATACAATCAACCACGTGCAAGACCAAGTAATATGATGAAAAGATGATATGCTATGCGGGATGCGATGCGGGATGCAAAATGCAAGATATGACAGGAAATGCATGAAGCTGGCCTCAACTTGGGATTCCAAGGGTGCCACTGGAAAGATGAGATGAAATCGCTTGAAAACGATATAAAGAACGCCGGAATCGGAGTTACGGTTTGGAAATGGCAAGCGTTTTAAGAATGACACCGGTCT